GTTCACTTAGCTGGTGGAGCCGTGTGACTGATAGCTGGGAAATCTGCCTCTGGAGCAGCCTGGCATCCTCTGGAGCAGCCTGGCATCTGGGCCGATGTCTGGAGGTGTTTGTGAAAGCGTGTGGGGAGCAGAGGTTGCCACAGCCCGTGCCCACCTGAGTCAAAATTAGGCAAAGCGAGTCTGCAAAGCCATAAACGAGGCAGCCGTGCCCGCGATTTTCCATTGTGCACCTGCAGCGACGTGGAGCTCAGCTTGCTTGACTTGCGATCAGATAATTTTACAGTACTGTTTTAACTAACAGCGCCAACCTCCTAGCATGGTAATCACTTTGATCCTGGTTGGCACAGATGTATTTTTCATGTATTATTGCTTAATACTGGAACGGTTCTTTTTTTTCCTTCCTCCGTATCCGAAGATAGCCTAATGAAAATTATTTTTTTCCCCTACTTCATTAAATGCTAAAGGGCAATTCAATTTTCTCCATAGCTTTCCCTCTCTCTTTAGATTTTCTTAATGTACTGCTCTGCTTAGCCTGATATGTTGTTCTTGTAATGATTATATCAAGTTCTTTTCAGCATAAAAATTAAGCTCATTTTGTAGCTAGAAGTAGAAGTAGACGTCTGGCGCTGCCACGGCCCCACGGGGGCTCTGGCTGTGTGGTGCTGGGCTGAGGCCAGCAAGGGCAGGGCTGTTAGGAAGGCTGGAAGCCAGACTGGCCGGATGGCTTTTGGGAGCGTGTTGAACTGTGTGCATAACGGACTTCCCCACCATTTAAAGGTGCCAAAAATGTATTTATCAAAAAGAAATCTGTTCCCCTTTGCCCCTTCCTTTTCTGCAGAACAGAGCCGTTGTTCAGGTTGCCAAAAGGAGCTCGTTGGTTTGAGCTCTCCGGGCTCTTGCCTTTCCCCGGTGTGGGGGTTGGAGATCTCTGCCTGCATCCGCTGCAGAGATGCTCTGCCCACGCAGAGCATCTGCCCCTGGATGCCAGCACTCCTGCTGAGCCCCACTCCCAGTGAGCCGGCCCAGCGGAACACTGGTGCTGCTGGGAGGTCTCTGCACCCAGATCTCACCTGGTTTTTGCTATTCTGCCTTATGAATAGATGAATATCTGCCTCCTGGCTCATTGTGCAATGCCCATGGCTGGTGAATATTCATTAAGGGAAATTAGCATCTATTAGGTCTTAATTAACTTATAAAAGCCTTGTTTTGTGGTAATGAAGTATGTGCTCTAGATGTGCCTGATGGCAGCTGGTGGGTGGTTCCCCCTGCCCATGCAGCCATCCCTGAGCAGGGTTCGGCCCCTTCCTCAGGGGCTGGACCCCTTCTTCTTCCCCATAGCTATGAGGTTACAGCTGTGAGGAGGAGCCTGTGATCTGAGCCTGTGCCCAACGTTTCGTTAGGTGATCGTAACAATGTCCCGTGCCGCCGACGCTGGGTGTCTGACCTTGGGTATCCGACAGTGGCTGTCCGGGCTCTTTGGGCACTTGAGGCACATGTTGGAGTTCTGTTCCTTGGCTGGGTGAGCGCAGCCCTTTGATTTGGGTTTCGTGGACCGTCCTGCTGCTGTGGGATGTGGGTGGGCTTTGGCTGAAGGTCCCTATGAATTTGCTTAGAAACTGTCAGGGAGGCACTGAACACCGCCGTGCTCGGAGCTGCGGTGGGACGTAGGAGGAGGTTGCAAGACACATTAATGGGAACTGACCTGGGCAGTAACCTCTCCGCTCATTTCTCCATGTTTTTCAGACTTTATTTGCTTCCGTGTGGGGTGGGGAAGCGGCCAAGGCAGCGGGAGCGCGTCAACCTGCTGTAGGAGCAGGCGAGCATCGCGTAGGAGCTCATCCCTGATGTTCTCCGGGGCTCTGGTGGGAGGGAGTCTGGTGTCCAGAGGAGGAAAACATGTTCAATAAATTGTTCTGGGATTAGGAAGGCCCGGGGGTCCAGAGCAGCCCCTCACCCGGAGCAGTCGGCAGCTGCAACGCAGGAAAGCCCTCACCAAGCTGCAAGGTCAACTGCAATAAGGAGCTGCAAATCAGCACAGCTCACGGGCATGGTGTTCAGAAGCACGGGATGGGGTTTTTACAGAGGCTCAGTATGTAATGCCTGTGCCAAAGCCCAGCAAATTATAAAAAATTTCAATTTAACAGGTATTGACTTTTTTTCCAGACAAGATACAGAGCAGATCTTGAAGCAAGTCTCTAAGTGAAATGTAGCTGCACAGCTCACAGGCTGGAAGAGTCCTTCAGTATTGACAGGGAAGAGGAAGGAAGAGATAAGGAGGGGCTTCCTGATTGTTGTTTTTTCACCGGTTTCTGTAAACTATATGCGTTGTGTTCATGGTTGCAAGAAAGATGGAGAAAAGGGAGAGCAGGGCAGTGACTGTCAGCGATGCAGCTTGCTAACGTTTGCTGCCATGAGCTCGCCAGCCCCCTTCCCCCTGGTTCTGCTGCAGAACCAGCCGGGCCAGTGCTGCAGCTCAGACCCCAGCATCCCCCTCCCCATTCCCTGCTCCTGCCTGTCCACAGCGCTGGGCTGTGACACTGGCCACGGGGCCCCCGCGTCCTTTCCGTGGGTGAGCCCAGGGGCTGTATTGCTGGTCCGAAGGTGCTACGCTGAATCATGCTTCGTCTGGGTAATGTTACCCATCTGCATGGGTTGTAAACGGTAATGACAGTTTAGTGGGAAGATGGATGCTTCCAAATGACATTTAAATCCATGATTATTGCCGTGGTTTGGTCAGGGAACAGTTGTTACCAGTGCCAGCTCTTCCCCTTTGTTGCGGATTGCTGCGTTTGGGCAGGGCTCCAGCTGAAAAAGAGAAGATCAAGCCACGCGTTGCATGAATCAGGGCATAAATGAAGTGCTGTTCGGGGGTTCCCATCACCGATGGGTTATGTGATGGAAGGACTGTCTGTCCCCAGAGCCTCTGTTTTTGTGCAAGCTCCTGTGCCAGGGGAGGCTCCTTCTGCAGCGACGGGAGCTGTCTGGGTGGGCAGGGAGATGCAGGGGGGGGGTGATGCCCACTGGGACAGAGGCTGGTGGTTCTGGCCGCACCATCTTACAGCCAGATCTGGAAAGGCAATTGAGCCTCAGAGAAGAAAAGATGTCTCGAGAAAAGAGGGGCGTTATAGCTGTCAATAATGGAAAAGGTAATTCCCTAGCGCTATTCCCTGGAGGCTGGGGAAGGCAGGCACCTTCCGGTACCCACTTCTAAATTTTATAACAAGCTGTATATATACTTCTTACTGCAGGAGAGATGATTATTGATGCAAGTAGCCAATGGCCACCTGAATGCTGTTTGATTTCTTACTTTAAAAAAGAACAAATAGTCATATTTAATCGGATGAAAGTATAAAAACCGGGGTGATGACAGGCGAATAATAACAGACATTTTCCTGAGCAGTGAGAGCAGTGTTGTCCGAATGTTTGGTTTAGCCATCAGGAGCATCTTGTTTTGATTTGGTTTGGTTTGTTTCATGCCGTTGGGAAAGCCTGTGATTTCCAGGGCCAGGCATCACGCAGGGATGCTGGCTCCCTGTCTCACCGCTGCTGCGAGGGGTGCCCACGCCAACGTGCCTCCTGCAGCCCCCCACTCTCTCGCCGCGTGCGGGGGGCTAGACTGAAACCCGTCCCACTGCATTTCTTTGTGACTGCCAGGGTTTCACGGGCAAGATCCAGAAGGCGAGCTGTGCAAGCTGCCTGTGCCCAGGATCTGTGTGTTTTGCTTTCTGCATGCTTTCCAGTGCCATTCCCTTCGTGCCTTCCCCTGCAGCAAGGCCCAAATTTCCCCTCGGCTGTACGGGAGAGCTGACAGCCCCATCCCACGTTGCTTACGCTGGTCTGTTCTGGGGCAGAGCTGTTTGCCTGCGCTGGTTCGTTACGTGCGGTTGCTAACGAGGGGTAGGACTCTGTGTTTGTGTGTAACTGTGCAAAGATCCCTGCAGAATCCCCGGGTCTTTGGTTTTAACCTGAACATGGCAAACGGCAAAAAGGAGACAGGTTGGGTTTAACAGCATATTTGCTGCTGTCCATCTAAGGGCAGAAAGGTGATTAGGCTAGGAGGGTTGGACGGGGTCTAAGCGGCCTGGCATTCCCAGGTGAGACGTGTGGGTCCCTGCAGCCACCTTGGGTACAGCCTGACTTCACACACCAGCAAAGACGTGCCCTTCCTATGTGAACAGGTTTATTCCCTCCTCCCTCTTTATGAAACGCAAACCCAGGGAAGCTCAGCACCAACGCGAGTTGTTGGACTGGTTGCTTTGCGGAGACGGTAGTGGAGATGGGAAGGGACTGCAGGCTTTGCTGTGTCCTGCCTCCTGGGCACTGCCTTCCTCTGGCAGCCAAAAATTCACCATTTATTTGTCTGTTTTGAACTAGTAACCTTGGCCCCGGAACCTCTGCTCACACCTGTGAGTTTACGGGCTTCAAAGGAGCCCTGGATAAGGGTAAACCTTGGAGGAGCAGGTCAGGAATGACAAAACCTGAACTCCTCATTCTCCTTTTTTCTCTGTCTTTCCTCAGGCAAAAGTTCTGTGGACTCCATTAGGATTGTCTTCTAAGGGAGGGAAAAAGAGCCCTGTGTGTTCTGCTCAGGGTTTGGCCCTGGGTTGGTGGGTGGACACAGTAGCAAATCATAACCAGCCTGAAAAGCCATTAGGATGCCTGAAGCGATGGTTAAATACCTGACTGGATGCTCGGGAGACGGTTTCTCACTGAGGAGCTCAGAAGAATTTCAGACATGGGTTGGATGTCTCAGGGGACCCGCAGGGACAAAGGAGCTCCCGTGTTAAAGGAGATCAGCTGCCTCCTGAGAGGGAGGGGGGTTTGCTGACTCTAATGGTGACATTGGGGAAAGCTGCTGCGCAGGTGGCTGCTTCCCTCCCTGCTCCCGGCGATCTCTCAGGCAGCAGTGAGCTTGGCGGTGGGTGAGCAGCCTGTTTCTGGGTGTGCGTAGGGGTCTGGAGCTGTCGGTAACCCTGGGGTGCTCTCTGTTCCTCTTGCAGGGGAGCCCTCCCGGTGGTCCTCGTCCCACTGCGACTGCTGCTGCAAGAACGGCAAAGGCGACAAGGAGGGGGAGAGCGGCACGTCGTGCAACGAGCTGTCCACCTCGAGCTGCGACAGCCAGTCGGAGGCCAGCTCCCCCCAGGAGACCGTCATCTGCGGCCCCGTCACCCGCCAGCCCAACATACAGACTCTGGACCGGCCGGCCAAGAAGGGGCCGGTGCAGCTCCTGCAGCAATCCGAGATCCGGAGGAAGAGTGACCTGCTCCGGACTCTCACCTCCGGCTCCCGTGAGTCCAACTCCAGCAAGAAAAAAGCGGTGAAGGAGAAGCTCTCCATTGAGGAGGAGCTAGAAAAATGTATCCAGGATTTCCTCAAAATCAAAATCCCAGACAGGTTTCCGGAAAGGAAACATCCCTGGCAATCAGAACTGCTGCGGAAGTACCACCTATAGGCTCAGGGTGGGGAAAGCACACGACCTTGTTAACATTAGGGCAAGATTCTAAATGATGTGAAAATAATTCCCAGTAATAATTATTTGTTAGCTCACCAAGAAAGAGCAAACCCATCTCGATAGTACTGCCTAATTTACCTATTTCACCTTAACATTTACAGTCCTAGGGGAACGATATTGTTCCAGTTGTGGAAGCACAATGACAAATGCTTTTATTTGTAAACTCCGAGTCTTACACAAGCTGAAAACCTTAAGGCACAACCATACCGACAACAAGGGATGCTCGTGCGGATGCTGCTGGCGCCGGTGGGAAGGAGGCCCCCCCCAGGCGGGGGCCGGGGTGTCTGTGGGCTGCATGCCTTCTGTGTTCTCCCCGTGGTGTGTCTGATGGGAGGGAAGTGCACAGCTCCGAAACAGGCTAGGCCGGAGAGTTGACCTGAAGCATGTGTATATATATATGTGCATATATATATATGTGTGTACATATCTCTCTGCATATATATATGTATATATATATCAATATATATTGCTTAAAGATTTTCTGGCTCTCTCCTTATAACTGCACTTTCTCAGAAAAGAGCATTTTTTAGCAGTCTGTGGATGTTCTGTTTGTTCTCCAGCTCTTTGCGGGTTGAACTGTAGAAATCCCATCTCGTTCTCTCTCCCGCTCCCCTTTTTTTTCCCCTTCTCTGAGACACTGTAAATCCCTTTCAGTGGAGACCAGGGAACAGCGTGTGGGTTTTAGTTGCTATCGGCAAAATACTCCATTTGTTTTTGACGACCCTGTTCCCTCTGTGTCCTCCCTGCACCTCTTGTTGTGTTTCTCAAGGCTCTCCGGTGCCAAAGGGTTAAGCACGTGATGATCCCAGTTGGAAAGCTGTAGGAATTCTTCCGGGGTGGAGTGCGGTGGTGTGGCTGCGCGGGTGAGGATGGCTGATTTCGGCAGGCTGGCCAGGCACCCCAGGAAGGAGGTGCCCATGATCCCTCCTGCAGATGTCTGTCTCACGTCGGTCCCACCCACAGCCGTTGGCAGGCTGTTGGTCAGCAAACGGTGCTGAGCGTCCCGTGTCATCGCCGCACGCCGGCCGGAGAGCCATGGGACAGGCTAGTCCTGGCATGGAACGCAGCGGGGGTCCCCCAGCCCCCAGGGGTGCAGCCGGCTGTCATTGCCGGGCAGTGCATGGGCACAGCAACAAGGACCAGAGAGCTCCCAGGAACTGGGTGTTGGCAAGCGGTCAGAGGCGTAGGGCCAGCAAAACCTGGAGGAGGTAAGCGTCGGAGGAGGGCTCGGCTCAGGGGTAAGCTCGGGCTGCTGGCGTGGGTGAGCCGGGGAGAATGACGGGGAAGGGGATTGCTCCAGCTGCATTGCTTTGGCCAACTGGGAACAAACCAGCTGGAGCTTTGAGATAAATTTTTAATTTTCTAAAGGCACATGAAGGAAATTTTGTATGTATGTATGTACACATATGTGCAAAAAATACGGGAAGCGATAGTGCTGGTAACTCAAACCCTTTGATTGTGACTTATTTAGTGTCCTGCTGGTTCCAGGGCTGCTTCCTCCTCTTCGTTTCGGAGACTGCCGTGGCGGATGATGCCAAGCGTGCCCAGGCTGTCTCTGCTGCTCCTCATGCAGCCCCAGCGAGGCGGTACCCTCCCGCTTGCAGGGCTCCCTTGCGCCCACGCACCCGGCTGTGACGTTTCCGCTTTGCCAGAAGATCCGTAAGGTCTGCAGGAGCCCACAGGCAGGTGTGTGCCCGTCGCTCTGCTGCCGACGTATGCAGGTGTTCATGGGTGAGGGCGCAAATTCTACCAGCAAAAAAAGGAAGCAATACTCATCCGGAGTGACCCGTAAGCGTGAGCTGGCTGTAGGGAGGGGGAAAGCCCTCCCAGCAATACTTCTCCTGGTCTTTGGAGAAGAGGGCTTGGATGCAGCAGCTTGGCATCACCTCTGCTGGGGTTTTACATGGGGAAGGGTGCTGTTCTTCGAGTGAACAGGCTGTGTTGGTAATGCGGAGTGGGGACTGTGAGGTTGTGGGTCTGACCTGGGAAATGCTGGGCTCAGCGACAAGACTCAGCACTCCTTGGGATCCAGCTCTAGACCAATTCAGGTTTTAAGGCACTGACTCACACCCGAGTTCAGGCACAGGAGTTGTGCTGTCCCCCACTTGGCTGCTCAAACGGCACGTTTTTTGCCTGAAAATCAGTGTTTTGCACAAGATCCACAGGTTTGGTTCCTCCTACCTATTTGTTTGTTAGTTTGTACCTTTTTTTCTTTACCTACTGGCCATTCCCTGCATCTTTCCCCCTGCTCCAGCACCAAGCAAACAGAACTGGGGAGCAACTAGGGCTCTCCCTCAGGATGTGCAGCTGAGTACGCAGTTTGGGGTGGATCACCCCTCTTCCTCCGCAGCAGGCTGCAGCTAAAACCTCGCCCTCTCCACCGCTCCAGATCGTTCCCTGTCCCGTTTCGCTAGTACGGCTCTTTGGGCTATAAAACACGGGTGAGGGAGTGGAGCAGCAGGCCTTGGCTGCGTGTGTGTGCGCGTTCTCAGACTGACAGTCGGGGTGCACAGGGTTGCGTGATGATTAATAACTGTAGAAAAATTAGACCAAATGAAATGCGCCCGAACGGGTTTGATTTATGTGGCCTTCACGTCCTCAGCTGTAGATGAAATGGTTATTACCTGCCAGTGCTACAGAAATACAGGTCTTCAACTTCAGTAATCACAGGCAGGCCAAACCTGCTATTTAGGATGGAGGGGGAGGAGGGCAGGTCCCAGGCGCGTGGGTGCACCCTCGTGTGTTCCCAATGCTCCCCTGCGTGACTGCAGGGATCCCGCTCTGGTCCAACTGCCAGTTGCTGCTGTTCACAGGGTGGTTTGGTGTAGGAGGGAGCTGGGGGCTGAGGTTTTTTGTGGTTAAGACAGACTGGCAGGCTCTAGGTGCGATGGGCTCTGTTGTAGAGGAGCCCCTGGGCAGTGGTGGGGAGCCCTCCACCCGTTCCCCGTGGGGATTCGCCTAAATACCAGGCGCTGCGCAACACCCGTTACTGCTGCTCAAATTCCCCGTCTCTCCCTCCTTCCCTCACTGCTGTTCTCTGGACCGATACCCCGCGGCGAGACCCGCACCCCACCAAAGAGCCATGCTTTGGGCACCTTCTTCTGCCGGTCAGGGGGCCACCGCCGGGCACAGGACCCTGCCAGTACGAGCCCCGTGCTGGGGAGGGGCGGAGGCTGGGGACAGCTTGGCTCCTGTCGCAGCCAGGCATGTCCCGCTGATCTCCACGGATGCCGTTCCCCTTCAGAAACACCGGTTTTCCCGCGGTTACGCGCCCAGACGCCTCGCGAGATGGGCTGAGCAGGACGCAACGCATCGGGGGCGACGACGAGAACACGTGAGTTTACGTGGACCCACGGGGACCACGTCGGGTT